CGTTCCATATTTTCGACCCTGAAATGAACCAATCTGTAACGAAGGCTAACTCCTAACTCCTTTCACCTACAAATTTCGTCTTTGGATACAAAGCTAAGTGGATAGTCCTTACCGAGGGACTGTTTAAAAAGAGGCAGGGAGAAGAAGAGAAAAAAAAAAAAGATGCCATCATCTCTGATTACTGGGGGTGGGGAGGGACTGACTGAGCATCCTCAGGACAGGAGGTCCCTCTCTTTGCAATCGCCATCCTGGCCACAGAGACTGGGTGTGTGGGGAATCCTAGGTGGTGATTTCCAGTGGTCTTCACCTTCCCCAGACCCCACCCCTCCAGGTCCCCCTGCTTGCCAGGGCCAAGCAGGTATCAATGGAACTCCCCTCTGTCCCACCCTCACGCTCAGTAGTTGAGATAAAAATCTTATAAGGAAGCCAAAAGTTTCTGTAAACACATTTCCAACTTAATACCCACAACCATCCATTTGATTCCTGCTCTGTCTCACATACTTTGGGCATGTTGCTAAGAGGGATTGTTCCTTAGAGAAGGCCATCATGCTTGGAAAAGTGGAGAGACTACGAAAGAGAGGAAGACTCTCAACCGGGTGAACCAACACGGTGACTCCAGCAAAGGGCTTAAGTGTGTAAGAGATTGTGAGGATGGTATGAGAATAGGACAGGGATAAGATCTGCTGTTCACAGAGTCGCTATGGGTTGTACTTGACATTACCTAACTACCAACACCAAGGCCAGGCTAGGGGGTGGAGAGGGTGAGTGGAGCAGGCAGAGAGAGACGGTGTGAAATCATTAAGGTCCTCGTCCTGAATGGTCAGAGCTCCCTGGACTAGTGCCATTCCTCTGTACCCAGATCCTCTGCACCTTCACCAGGCCCTATACGCTCAAAACGCAACCTCACTGACGTCACATCAGTTCTGGCTCACAACAACCCTCTACTAGGTTTCAGAGACTGTAAATCATAATAGAAGAGACTGCCCACCTTCCTACTTCAGAGCGCTGGTGGATTTGAACCACCAGAGGCATAACCTTTTCTTGGTTAGCAGTGCAATACCCTACAGACTACGCAACCAGGGATCACTCTGTAAGCTAGGTCCTGCCAGTGTAAGCAATTATTATTATTAAATATTATTATTATTAAAGATTAATCATAGCAATACTTTCAATTTATATGTTGTTGTTATGTGCCATCAAGTCGAAACTGAATCACAGCTGACCCTTCTGCAGGTTTTCAGAGGCTACAAATCACATGGGAAAAGATGCCTCATCTATACCCCAAAGAGCAATTGATAGAGTTGAACCATACGCCTTTGTGTTGGCAATGCAACTCCTCACCCACTAGGCCACCAGAGCTCCCTTTTCATTTATATAGCCAGTGACAATGCCAAAAGCACTGTGATAATAATTAGAAAGGAAATCCCTTGCACTTAAATATCATGCTTTTACCAAAAAATCAAGTTACAGCCCCATCTCATTTTGATCCCAGAAATTAATCTGGGTGAGAGGGTAGCAAAAAGGAGGTTTCTGTCCTGTTTGCCTTGTCAGGAAGTAAAGGTTCAGAGAAGGCCAAGGTCAAAGACGAAGCTAGGCAGTGGTGGCCAAGGGATTAGGGTCTATTGCCTCGAGTCCTCACCCACCCAGACCAAATGCCCCAGCCAGGGGTCCTCACATTGTTCTCTCTACTCTCTCAGCTGCTCCCAAACACACAGACTGGAAGCCTGGAGAATGACGCCTCTGGACCCCCTTACTGCCCCCAGACTCAACCCTGCTTACCCATTTGTTAGGCCTGGACACTGACCTTGGGCCGCTTCCACCTGACAGTGGGTCCGGGGACGCCCTTATAGTAAAGCGAGTCATCTGTGGCCGGGAAGAGGGGGTCCTCAAAGAGCACCTTCCTGCGCAGACAGGCCCGCTTCAGGGATGAGTAGTTCTGGTCCTCATAGGGCTTCACACACGAGAACATGGTGGCCACTACCCGGGGCCAAAGAGGCCAAAGTATGGCAGCAAAGGGCGGGCTAGCAGGTGGCAAAGAGCGGGCAGTTCCTGGAGTCTCTGGAAGGACAGAGAAGCAAAAAGATAGTTACTATGGAGTTGTTGTTGTTGTTGTTATGTGCCGTCGAGTCGCTTGCGACTCATAGCTACCCTATGTACAACAACCCTAAACTTTGCTTTGTCCTGTGCCAATCGCACTGTCTCTGACACTCCCATCCCGATGATCTCAGTCACTGATCAATTCACCTCATAGAGGGCCTTCCCCTCCTGCGCTGTCCCGCCACCCTCCCAAGCATGATGTCCTTCTCCAAGGACCTGTCTCTCCTCGCAACATGCCCAAAGTATGACGGAGCCTCAGAATCCTGCCTCCAAGGAGCCACCCGGTTTAACCCTTTCCAGGATGAATCTGTTTGCTTTCCTAGCAGTCCATGGTATTCTCAGTACTCTTCTCCAGCACCACAGCTCAAAGGCATCAGTTCTCCTTCTATCCTCCTTGGTCA